CCTGGTTAAATTACATAACTCTGAGCCTCAGTTTTCTCATCTGTAAAATGGGAGACATAATACTTTTCTCTTGGAATGGTTTTTAGGACCATTGAAAAATAGTATATATTTATGTAGACTATTTTAACTATTTTAATTTTTCCACCTGTCTGTTGGTGACATAACAACCCAAAATAAAAGCACTGATTGTCGTTAACACTAGCATTGTACTTTCTGTATGCACAGCACTATTCTAAGTACTCTCTTGTTCAATCTTCACACACACACAGTGTCATCACCATTCCCATTTTGCAGATGAGGAAACTGAGGCTCAGAGTGCTAAAGTAACATGTCCAATGTCTCAGAAATAGTAAATGGCAAAGCTGACATTCCAACTGCAAACACTCTGGCGTCCAAATTCACTTTAAATTAGGAAAGGACATGGAGACCACGATCTAGTGGTCAAAACATTTAAAGAGCTTCAACTGAAGACAGAAGTTTTACCCACATGAAAAGTGCCAGATTTGACAACTCTCTTCCTGTTGCGTGGACTCCCATTGGGCTAATGCTTGGCAGAGGGCAGACCCTAGCAGGGCACCCCCTTTGCCCATGACACCCATGGCAATGCGTGTGTGGCCCTGTCCCTCCATCACCCATCTGTGTCAGAGCCCAGGGCCGGTGCCGTCACCGCACTGGAAAGCGAGAGCAGTCATCACCAAGCCCCTGCCCTGTCTGCAGACTTTGGGTGGGCTCTGGTTTGGGCTGGCTCTCAAATCATTCTAGACAAAGTACTATACAGGGTCTGGCGAAAATAAGGCCCCTTCTTTATTACAAAATCATAAGCAAGTAATTCTATAACATTATATTATCGGCCTCAAGCACACCGTGTGACCTTTCTGGTGATGTGTTCAAATTAAAACTGTAAGTGATGACACCCATATGATGACCCTACCCACCACACTCAAGTGGGCACTGCTTCTGGCGGACCCTGCATTCCACGGGCCACCATGGATGGATGCTTCCATGGTCTCTGGTGATCAAGCAAAGGGTCGGCCTTTCCTCTTTCAGACTGCCAGGGCCTGCTGCCACGTTGTCCTTGGAATTTCCCATGTTCTTAAACAGAGAAATCCAGTTTATATATCCGTGGCTCTTTGAACTACAAGCCCGCAGGCTGAGAGCTTACATCTCTATGAGCCTCCGTGATCGCTCCCCTGGCAACCATGCACCAGTGTTAAACAGACTCTGAAGGGGGCTTGATGCTGGGAGAAGGAAGCACTACAACCAAAGGGAGGAAGGAACGAGAGGCTGAGAAAGTGTGACCATCACAAGCTGTGGGATGGAGCGAGCATTCCCAGCACCAAGGCCCTCATGGCTGAGGCAGGGGGAGCTGCTGGTGTCATTAACACCATTTCAGCTTCCAGCCAGAAGGGTTTCTAAGCAGCTCACAGTCTCTCCCAATCCCAAACCTTCTCCTCAATGGTTGATTACAGGTGTGCACTCTAGCAGGGGTGTCCAATGGGCAGCCTGAGGGCCGAGTGGAGCCCAGGGTGGCTGTGAATGTGGCCCAACACAAAACCATAAATTTGCTTAAAACGTGGTGAAATTATTGGTGATTATGTGTCACAATGCATTTAATGTGTGGCTCAAGACAACTCTTCTTCCAGTGTGGCGCAGAGATGCCAAAAGGTCGGACACCCCTGCGAGTCTAAAGGTTTCATTTTAAAGAAGATGAAAGAGCGGCCTTCATACTTTAGAAATGATGGCTTAGACTCCAGGTTGCCAACAGCGAAAGGTCACCAAAGAATGATAATTATATTCATTTCCACTTGCTGGCCATTTGCCCCCTTTCCTGCCATTAAGACAAACGAACTAATGAGCTTTCCCAAATGTCTTTGAGTCCTCACTTCTCTTTTTATTCTGGGGAATAAAGATCAGCCCTTTGCCTAGACCTCTTCTTTCCATTGGTATCCGCTTGAGCTGGGGGAGAAGGTGGGGCTCTGGTTGAGTCAGGTCCAGACGAAGCTGCCCTCAGCGTTTCACCCAGGGCCACGGAAGCGTCAGTCCGACTCCACACGAAGGACATTAGGCGCGGCCCTTGGCACTTTACTTGTTTGCTTGTCTCTTTCCCTCACTAACCATGGATCTCCCCAGAGAACTGAGCTGAATTAAAATCAAGCCAGTTCTCTCTCAAGGGGAGCCAAATGCCCTCTCTGCTTCACCTCACTTCTGTTTGCTGTGCGGGCTCCTGGTCCATCTCCTTGCCCAGCGGAAACTCTGGGGGAAGCAGATGTGTGTGGACCCCCAAACTGCCAGCATCCTCACCACATCCCTGCACTGGAAACACATCGTTTTCTACTTCAGTAAAAACAGGACAACATGTATTGTGTTTGTTTTTTGGGTTTTTGTTTTATTTGAAAGCATTGATTGCTGAATGTGTACGTATTCTTGAAAATTTAGAAAACATAGAAAAGACCCAAAAGGAAAATTATCACCCACAATTATCATAGCATATTTCTGTGCAGGATTTCTTTGGGGTCTATAAAATTGGGTAGCCTGTTGCCCTTGCTTGATGTAATATCATAACTGTTTTCTCTCACTTTTTATTTCTATATTTACTGAGCACCTACTATGTAGCAGGGACTGTACGAGGCCCCACAGATCTTGATTCCAGCTGTCGAATGCACAGGGGTACCCCCAGGCAGAGAAGCAGGGGCCCCACCGTCCAGTTTCCATATTGTTCAGAATGAGAATGACCTTTAGGCGGACAAGGACGGCCAGAAAGAACTCCTGAACGGCAGTGTGCCCCTGGGTCTGATGTCATGGTGATCCTGCCAGAGACGTTGGCTTTTCACAACAGGAGAATTTCTGGGACATGTTGGAATTTCCAGAAAAAGCCAGAACTGCATCCAGTAGGGTCAGTCTTTTGATGGGGCTGTTCCCTAAGCAGTTTTTCTGCTTAAGACGTCTTTCTGAAAAGTGAGGACTACCAGGAGCTGGTCTGGTCCTGCTGCCAGCCAATCAGAATGCATGCTGGGCGTGGTCTGCAGGTGCCCACAGGCTGTACCATGACCTTGGTGACCCATCACAAAGATATCTGGGAAGTCCTCCGGAGAGGCTGGGTGACCTGGGCTGTGACGGGAACCCGGGAGCCCTCAGGACACACAGCAGTGTTTCAGAGCTTCAGGAAACACACACTGTAGGGATCCTGGCAACAGGCCCACCTGCAAAGCGGCTTCTTTTTCCAAGTTGCTAACATGTGCGCGTAGGTGCCAGAGACCTGCTGCCTCTGCCCGGAGAGCCGTGGTGTGCCGCCCTTCGAACCTGGGCTGCAGGTGTGTGAATTGGAGCAGACCGCAGGGAGAGGGTTTCAGAGGCAGCCGCCATGTGCTCCTAAAGCCCCTCCTGGAAAGTGTAGCCCAACCCTGAGCCATTCCTCCTCCACTCCTATTCATGCAGCATGGCTGAGGTCTGCAGACAGCAGGCTCCAGAGTGAGGGGAGGCCTCTCCTGGGTAAAGAACCACATTAGAGTCAAGTGAGGACTTGGGTCTCGAACACCCATCAGCACCAAGGGCCAGCCAGCTTCTCCCAAGAGGCCTCTCCTGCTGAGCAGCCAGCTCCGAAGTCCCATTCCAGGATCCTTTTTCTTTTTCCTGCCTCAAGGCAGCGACAAAGTTCTCCAGTGACCTAGAGTCAGAACTATGATGCTCTCCCAGAACCCCAGCTTCCCTGCTGACTGGGGCGAAGTTTTCCAATCACTGAGAAGTACAGATTAGTAGTTACAAAGTACTCACGAGGGTGGCCAAGTACAGCACAGGGCAGGTAGTCAGTAATATTGCAATAACAGTGCACAGTGCCAGGTGGGTGCTGGAAACTTCAGGAGGACACTTTGTAAGTCGTATGATTGTCTAACCGCTGCACTGTGCACCCAAAACCAATACAAAATAATACTGAATGTCAACTGTAATTGAAGAAGATTTTTTAAAAAACATACCCATGATTGAGCAGGGGATAATCGGGGCAGGCCCGGGGCCAGGGGCATCACACAAACAACGGCCTGTGACCCTCATGGCCCCTGATGAAGTGGATGGCTGTAACCCCCACCTTACACAGGACAAAGGCAGGGCTTTTTATCCTGCTAAGGAGCAGAGCAGAACCTGCTGAAGAATGCACAGCTAGTGAAGAGCAGAGCTGGGGTTGGACCCCATCCCCCACGCTCCATTAGTGCTGTCCAAAGGGCAGACCCAGGAGGGGTGAGGCAGGGCCAGGATGTGGAGTGGGGTGTTGGGGGGCAAAAAACGCTGGGAGGCAGTGCTGGGGGCAAATACTCTCCATCCCTTACCACTCCCTAGCCAGTTATTTTTCTCCGAACCTTCCTACAAATACACAAATATGGAATTCCATAACAACAGTTATGGGGAGTAATTAGCTAACTTTGTACTTGCAGCAGCATAAACCTATATGTGCTCAGGTGCTCTAGAAATGGTCAGAAGAAGGGGCTGTCAAACCAGGAGAAGGGGAGGGAAGGAGGGATGGAGTGGGACTTGGCCAACCATTGCCCAACACTGCAGCCCAGGTGGGCCGGACGCCTCCCACCCTGGGTCCTCCAGACGCAAGGACAAGCTGGTGCCTGGGCAGTCAGCGAAGCCTCACTCACAGGGAGGCAGAGATTCAGACTGAGCACCCGCTGGACGCCAGCTCTGAGACTGGCAGCAGCCGGTTACTTAGCTTTTCTGCATCTCCTTTTCCTCGTGCGTGAAAGGTCAGATCTCTCTGAGCTGTCATGAAGAATAAACAAGGCAGTGTTTGCAAAGTACTTAGTGTGACACCTGGCACAGAGGGAGTCCCTTCCTAAAGGTTGTTATTAACACGAAATTGCCTCCATGAGAATTGTCTTATCATAAAGTAATGGAATCATTTCTTTGTCCCAAACTCACAGACTCGAAAAATCCTAACCTTGAAAAAGACGCAGAAAGAGAAGACAAGACACACGCAGTAATGCTGTCTGACTTTGTTTTTATAGGAAACCTGGAAATCTTCCCTAGAGAAGGCAAGGCAGATGGCCAAGAAGTCTCCAATTCTGGTAAGCCTGCAGCAGGCGGAAGGCCAGCCACTGCCCAGGCATGGCCACCTGGACCTGGCCCACACTCTGCAAAGGCCAGGGTTGCTCTGGGTCCCACATGGGCATTGGGCTGGAAGTAGGGATGCGAGCTCCTTCCCCTCCCCTTCTCTTCTCTCTACAGCAACATTTCCCAACCTTGGCACCACTGACGTTCTGGGCTGGATAGTCCTTTGTTGTGCGCACAGTCCTGTGCATGGTAGGATGTTCAGCAGCACCCCTGTCCTCCACCCACTAGATGACAGCATCTCTGTCCAGCCCTCTCCAGGTGTGACAACCAAAACTGTACCCTGACCTTCCCAAGTGTCCTCTGATCCCCCATGGAGACCTGCGTTCTCTCTCCAGTAGACAGTTTTGGAGAAGGCTGTGTATCCTCCCATTTCTCTGCTTTCTAAATATGTGACCTTAGACTGAGCCTGTTTTCCCATCAGTACCATGGGGACAGTAACAGTGTCCCTGTCTGCAAGCATGGATGTGAGGACTAATAGAGCTGATGTGTCTGAAGTACATGGTATCATTCATGCCTGGGACTTATCAATCACTCTATAGATACTAGTCCAATCATCACATAGTTATTCCTCTCCCTAATGTGTCCTCTTTGTAATAATACTTTGATTCGACAGAGAGAACGGTTAGTTCAAATCAGTTATCATGGAGTCAAGCATTTGACTTAGGCCCTGGTTACAAATCAGCCCCAACTGAAGAGGAAGCAAGAGAGTAGACCTTTAAAAAGGGTGTGTCCCTCGATGCTAGAGCCCTGAGTCAGGCTGTGGTCCTCAAGGAGATAAGGAAATTAGAAGGCAGGGCCCAGTCGTTGGCTTCTTCCTGCTGGCTGACTCATCACTCACCTCACACACTGCTGTGAAGGTTGGATTGGCTTGGCATCGTGAAAATAAAGGGAAGGAACACCCCTTCATGCTCAGCTTGCTGGATCTGGCAGATACATATAGAGGATGCCCTATTAAACTCGAATTTCAAATAAATGCTAAATAATTCTGTAGCATAAGTATGTCCAGTGCAATATCTTATCAGGCAATAATACTCGTGGCAGGGAGCAGTGAGGGGGAGCGGGTGGGAGGTGGAAGGAGGTGTTTGGGTTTTGAAATACAAGGCGGATGCATGTTTCATGACAATATGCAGGTACTTCTACACAATCTATTAATCCATCACCATGTCTGCATTGCTGATCATTATTTAATTCAGTGAATAATTGAAGTCCAACTAGAGCTAGTTTAGCTCATCTGCTCAAGTCATTGAACAAGAAATTGAAACACCACTTGAAACCCTTGACCATCACTTCAGAATTCTAGGCGGAATGGAAGAATATAACACAACCCTTCCTTTCTTCTTCTCTCCAGGCATCTAAACACTTGTTCTCAGGGCATTGTTTTCTTCACTTGGCACAAACCGCCTTGGCATTAACTCAAAGGCTAATTAGGATTTTACAGTTTTCTATTTCTGTCACCAGAATTGCAAGCATAATTCACAGGGTAGGATTCCAATAATTTTCTGCATGAAGCAAAAAAAAAATTCTACTGAACAATCCAACAATAATACACTTCTCAAAAAAGAAAAAAACCTTCCCATTTATTTTCCCTCCAGACTAAAGCTCTCAAGGAAAAAAATAATCAGAAAATGCAAATAAGCATTTCAGGAAAATGGCTCAGAGGGTATTGGCAGCAGTGAATTCCCCGGGACTGCTGAGAGCCGCAGACCTAGCATGCAGAGAGAAGCACACAGTAGGCCACCTGTCGGGTCAGCACAGCTGGCGGACTGTGAGAACCCAGACTGGGGAGAAGCTCTGCCCTGTCTACTCCTGCAGGGACTTCTATGCTCCCAAGAAGGTTCGCACCTGCCGAAGACCCCAGAGCCTCTTCAGGGTGACTTCCCTTGGACGTGGCAGAACCCTGGCCTCTAAGGGTTTAGAGGAACTGAGTCATGGAATCCCTTTACTTAAGGCTCACAAAAATTCCTACAAGGCAGAGAGCATGCCTTCGCTGTCAACCCCGTGGTACAGATGAGAGAACCGAGGATCAGACAGGTTAAGTAACTGGCTCATTCCACCTAATGCGTGAGTGAGAAGCCCACGGTTTAAATCCGGGTTGAGCTACTTCCGAGTGCGCACCCTTCCTTCCCACCACAGCCACGGCCCTCTCCCAGACCTCCTCAGCACTGAATTCCAGGCCACACCTCTCACATCGCAGGCTCTGGAGGCACCACAACCGTGCAGTGCGCAACCAGGGGTGCTGCACAAGATGGCCCTGAGCTGAAACCTACCTACTCGATAGAATCTTCGGGAAACCCTTACCAGAACCGTCCTACCCACGGCCCATAGGCCGCACCAGCCCAGGGTGCCTATGAATGCAGCCTAACACAAAATCGTACATTTACTCAAAACATGGTGAATTTTTTGTGATGACATGTCGCACTGTATTTAATGTGTGACCCAAAACAACTCTTCTTCCGGTGTGGCCCAGAGACGCCAAAAGTTTAGACACATTTGCTTAAACATTGCTGCTGTTCAAATGCCACCCGAGACCAAGTAAATCCAAGTAAAGTGACACAGGACAAGACTTGAAAAGCTCCTCACCACGCAGATACCAGGTCAGGCTGGCTGTCTACAGAGAGCAGGCACTCTCCCCCTAGACCTTCCATCCACCCCCTTCACTGCTGTTCCCTTTCTTCGACCCCCGCTTGTTGTCCCACGTTTATTAAACCAAGGCCTTCAGACTAAAGTACAGAAGCAGCTCAGACATTCCAGTGCCCCTGGCTTTGACCTCTGGGTCTCAGAATGTGTCCACATTTCCAAACTGTCAGCAATATGGGGGCGTATTTCATGTTGGCGTTCGTTCGTTTTACAGTGTGTCTACAGTCCCCAACTCAACCAGTTGCCAGGTCTCAGTATTCCACCTTCTAATCAGCCCTCCTTTTCACCGCCGTGCCCCTCCTGCCTTACTTCGGTGGTTCCCAACCAGCAGCAATCCGGTCCTCTCCCGGGGACGTTTGGCAACGTTGGGAGACTTTTCTGGGCTGCTGGCACCTAGTGGCTACACACCAGATATGCCGCTACCAGCCTGCAGTGCACAAGACAGCCCATCACTAAGACTTACTTAGCCCCCAATGGCAAAAAATGCTGAGGTTAGAAACCCTGGGATCAGGCCTCAAGGTCTGCAGCTGCCAACAGGCCTGGAGACCCTGAGGTTAACACAGGTCCCTGTCATCTGTGGGTGGGAGTCGTTGGTGTCTCTCCCTTCATTGATAAATGGTGATTCGGGACACAGTCTGCTCTGTTGTGTTTTTCTTTCCTCTGAGGGAAGCAGCATGGAAATCACTATCTTTCTAGAGGCACTACTGAGTAAAAGGCCAGGCTTTTCACGTATCAGGGAGCTGGAGAGGCTTAGGAAACTACAGCCCCTCTGCTCTCCACGCACAAGGAGCTTCATCTGCACTGTCTTCTGCCCCCACCGGGGGGATCCCATCCTCTCTGCTTCTTCCCATTCATCTAACAGGAGGGAATGATTTTACTTGATATGCCCTTCATTTTCGAGTCCTTTTTTCCAAGCACTGGAGTATAGTGAGGAAGAGGAATTTGGTTGTCTGAGTAGATCAGCCCAAAGTGGGCCAGGCCCTTGGGGAAGGGCAGGGGAAGGCAGACAGGGGAAGGCGGGGATGCTGGCTGGGTGGAGAGGAAGGGGCTGCCCTCCAGAGGAGGAATGAGCCTGAACACAGGCTCGGGTGTGGACCCAGGGTGCAGCGTGGGGCCAGGAACAAGAGGTAAATCTAGTTGAGTAGAATGGCCCGGGTTCTGGTGAAAGGGGAATTCAGAAACCCCAACTCTGGGGCCAACAGGAAAGGAAGGGGCTCTAGAAATTGGGGAGCCATTCCTTGAGCTAAACAACCCTTTTTCATTATTTTTTCCCTCCAGAAGTATTCCAGAAGCAGTTCAGACATTTGCTCACTCCCATTTTTGGCCAAGATCTGTCAGGAGATTAAATCGTACGTATTCGACCTCTACCCTTCTGACTCCTGCCCGGGGTGGCAGCTCTGGCTGCCCCTGTTTTCTAAGGACTAAAACCGCCTTCGAATGCACAAGGCATCTTCCTGAAAGGGAAAGTGCTTCCTGCTCATGACTCAGAGGACAAATGAGCTCCAAACAAATTCTTTTACAAATATACCCAACACCAGTATCTTTGCACCTCGAGACCCGCCTTCTCCGCAAGGTGGGGATAGAGGCCACCGCTGAAGCCATGTCTCCCACCCACCAAGGACCCGAGAGACCTGCCACCCAGGTGCATTGGGCCACACGTGTTCTTCGGGGGCATCCACGTTCTTGGCTCCTGGTGATGCTGCCTCCTGAGCTGGCTTTGAAAACGAGCCACTTCATGTCTTTGAGTGTCCATTTCCCCATACGTTTACTTAATGCTCACAAAAATTCCTACAAAGCAGAGAGCATGCCTTCACTGTCAACCCCGTGGTAAATTCCCCATGGTAAATTTAAGGTACATGATAAATTAGGGCTACCCCTCAGAATCACTTGGAAGTGATTTTAATGCAGGCTGCTTGGCCTGGGAACTAGTGGGGACATGCTGCAATTCTCCAGGCTGTGGTGGCCTCTGTCCCAGGCCCCAGCCCCCACCCCCCAATAGAGCTCACATTCTCTCCAGGGGCCAGACGGTGGGAGCTGCAGGTCCAGATGAAGCTCCCCAAACCATGCTCTGTAGCTGTAGGGCGGTCCCTGGGAGCACACCATCCGCCCCGGTGCCTGTGGCTTTCCTCCTTGCTCTTCGGGAGGCAGGTTCTGTCAAGTGAGCCGATTTTAGTCCGGCCTCGTTCTCACTCTGACGGCCTGCAGGTGAGAGCGGCCAAAGGTGGGGCAGACTACGAGGCTGTGTTAGTCCCCTAGGGTCGCTGCAATAAAATACACAACCCAGCTGGCTTAGAACAACAGAAGTGTGTTCTCTCCCAGTTCTGGGGGCTGCAGGTCTGCCAGTAAGGTGTCTGCAGGGCCCCTCTGAGATACCCCTGAGGCTCTGGGTCGGATCTTTCCCTGCCCCCTCGCTTCTTGTGGTGGCCGTCAATCCTTAGTGTCCCTGGCTGCATCCCTTCAGCCTCAGCCTCTAACTTCATATGGCCATCTTCCCTTCTACAAGGACACCAGGCATACTGGATTAGAGCCCACTCTAATGACCTCATCCTAACAGATAACATCTGCAAAAACCTCATTCTAAAAATAAGGTCACATTCACCAGGACTTGGGGTTAGAACTTCAACGTATCGGATCGGTGAGCACAGTTCAGCCATGACAGAGTTACGTGTCCTACATTCTGCCGCCCTGCATCTCCTGAGGTCCACAGAACCTAAGTCCACTGCACACTGCCCGTCTGCTGCAGACGTTTCTCGTGAGAGGGACAAGGATGCTTCTGGCCCACATGCAGAGCCTCTTAGGGATCCAAGAGTTGAAGAACTTTTCCTGGTTCATGTGCCCCATGAGCTCCTGCAAACCAGCTGTGAGCAGTACTAGCCTGGGTCCCCTAAACAGTGTTAGCACCTGTTTTCATGAGTAGGGGTGGGTGCAGAGGGCAAGCACCAGGATATGGGGCAAGGGGTCATGGGAAATGCTAGACAGAAAGAGGATGCAGGGAGGCCGAGATGCATCTAGCTCCCGGGCCCCGATCTTTTCCTCATGCCCAGCTTTTGTTGAATGGGGACCCCTGGCCCGCTCCTTGCTGAGAGCATCACTGCCTGTTGCACATCAAACATGGACCCACAGGACCCAACGTGACAACTCTTCAATGGAACCACCTTTGCAAAACTGATTTCCAGAGCATCTGAGGCAAGGAATTTTCCTGGCCTAATTTAAAAGGGAAATTCTTTTAGGAAAAAGCAAAAGCAGTGTATTTTCTTCTTTCTAAAACTCACTGTGGTTCAAGTCTAATTTGCACCATGTCAACTTTATTCAGTGCTCTGGGGTTTACAAAGCACATCCAAATGCAACATCATTTTTGTCCGGCAAAAAACTTGTGGCTCCATATCAATGATGATAACCGAAAGGTACCTGGCACTGTTCTTGCCACAGGGACTATTGTCAACACAGCCCTGTAAGGCAGGCACCAGTATTGTCCCCTTTTCTAGAGAGGTAAAATTGCATGCTCAAGGTCACAGAGCTAGTCATGGATACATCTGCTGTTTGAATCCAGCAGCCAGGTCCCAAATGTCGGGCTCAGAGACACTACATTGTTTGTCTCTCAACTCTCAGCCCCACTTTTAGGTAAGCAGCAGGTTCTCAACATGAAACACCTGACCCGCCAGTACAGTCAGCAGGTGGCAGAGACAGACCCACTGGGTCCTCTCCTCACTAATCCTTCCATCAGATCCCCTCAGGCAGCAAAGCCTGGCCTGCTCTGGCCCCTCCTTGCCCCCTTCCTGTCCGGTCTATAAGCCTTCACAACACATTGGAGGTGTCCCCGCCTGTGGGAAGTTTTCCAGCTCCCGGCCTAACTACAGGCACCCAGCCCCCACAGTACTCCGGGCTCACCGATGCCGACCTCTGCACCCTGTTCTGTCGCTGTGCCCCCATCTCTTGGAGTGCGGGGATACCATTTCTTAGTGAACCTTTTATCCCTAGTACCCACCACTGTGCTTAGCATTTAGTAGGAACTCGGTGAATAAACAAGGAAATAAATTGAGAAAAGTCATCCCTTTACTGGAAAAAAGATATGTAGGATACCAGATTACCACCACGGGGCAATCGAGTTTCCAGTTTTTGTTGTTGTTTTGTTTTGATCAGAATTCACAGTGCCTACACACTGCCTGTTCTTTTTAATATTTGCCTGAGGATATGTTTTATTGATTTTAGAAAGAGAGGAAGGCGGGTAGAGAGAGAACATTGATGGGAGAGAGAAACACCAATTGGTTGCTTCTCGGGGGCATCAAACCTGCAACTAGGTACGTGCCCTGATGGGGGATCGAACCTGTAATCCATTGTCTGAGACAATGCTCCAACCAACTGAGCCACTTGGCCTGGCACACTGTCTATGTTTTATTGTAACGATGCTAAATAAGGAGGGTCCCCTCTTAACAACCTATTCTTTTTGTTTACTTCCCAAACCCATAAACCTACATATGCATTATTTCACATAAATGCGTACAGAATCTCCTATCTTATGCCTCAAGATCCTCATCGTAAATTTCAAGAGCAGAGTTTTAAGAAATGACTTGCATCATGGAGTGGTGTATGAAATGGCACAAGTTCAATCGCAAGTGCTGAGCTCGCTAAATGGACCCAAAATGCAATCTCCTTCCCAGGGAAATGAATCTGAACAATAGTACCCACGCCCATGAATGCTTCAGTTCAGTTACTTCTCTCCCCCACGGGGGCGAGTTAAGTGGCAGAGAGGAAAGAGTTCCGCTGGTGAAGAGCAGAAATGGGCCAAGTTTGCCTGGTGCTCTTTATTTTATTTTTAGAATGGGCTTCTGTCGTATAAACTCAAAACAGCCATATCTGAAAATGTCTGTGTTTGCTTTCACAGTTCCTTTTTTTTCCCTTAGCTCACCAGGTGTTTTGTTTTCTTTCCTCCAGAAGCATAGAGAATTCTGTGCCATTCAGAGACGCTGATTCAGACAAATACAGTGCGTTCCCAGTGAGTATGGTTAATAGCAACCAGATGGCCACAGACTCTTGCATCACTTCCTACAAGTCTCCTTAATAAGGCAACACTGAATTCCACTTGAGTGCATTTTTAATTTGATAATACACCATTTCACTGTTTCTATAGACTTTTCAGCATCTTAATAATGCATAGACCATCGAGGTGGATTTTAGGCACGGGTTTTGGTTTCCTGAGGCCATTCATAGCTGGAAACCTCTGTAGGGATTGAAATGATCTGGAAAGGTGTTGGGAATTATTCTGGAAAGTCTTAAACCTACTTCAGTTAACCTTTTAAAAGTGTGTGTGAGTGTGCGAGAGGGAGCGTGCAGCTGGGCACGTTTGATTTGGAGCTATCAGGGTGTCAGGATACTCTCTGTGAAAGAAACGAGTCCCTACCACGTCTCAAAGTCCCGAAGCTGCTAAGATCTTGGACCGTCCAGCTGGGAACAGGGAACTAAGAGCATCGTCTGATGTTATCACGACTCTTGATTCTTTCAAGTCAGACAGGGCCAGCATGTAATAAGTCCACATAATTAACCAGTTTTGCCAAAGATTTTTTAATTATCCAGTAAAATGATTAATCATTTGACCAAATAAACTAATTGATTAAAGCCTCACAAAACTGGTGATTGACAGAGAAAGTTCAGGGAGTTGGATGGTCCTACAGGTGGTGAACTTGCACAGAGACACACACACAGAGATACACATGTATGCACGCATGTGTGACTACGCGTGGCCATACGTGTGCAGTGTGTCTGATTACATGAGTAGTCACATGTGTGCATCCCCCATGCACCCACAAACAGGCACACACCCAGTAGAGTGTACACACAGGCTCACATACACTCACATATGCACACACTGCCCCTTGTTATTGGCACTGGCACTGTGGCGCATTTCACCCCCCGCAGCGTATTTTATCATCTTCGTCTTAGTGTCCTAAGTGATCGCTAGTGTTCCTGGACTGTGTCTGGGTTACAGACAGCAGAGGCCAGTGTCCCTCAGGCAGCTCTGACCGCCCCTTGCCATGAAGGTCAGGCAGGACTGACCCTTCTCTCATGCTCCTGGGTTTCAGACTCTGCGAGGCTACCACTGGCGGGGGCGGGACTGCAACGACAGCGACGGGACAGCGTACCCCGGCAGGAGGTAAGCGCTTCAGCTGGCCACTGGTCCTGAAAACTACCTTCCGAAGAGGAGGCAGGAAGCATCACTCCTTTCCCCAGCCTAGGGGATTCACGCTCACAGACAGTAGGGCCCCCATCCCGACGGAGGCAAACCTCTGGGACACAAAAACATCTTTTTTCACTAAGGGCTCCTGAGTGAAAAACTCACCTAACCTGCTCATTGCCAACCATGCTGCACCCTGCTGGGCAGTAAACAGAATGAAAATAGGCCTCTTCCTCTGTGGAGCTCACAGTTTAGTGGGAGAAACAGCTCATTGTGGGCGTTTTCCCAACCACCTGCTGAGGCTCCCACAGGGAGACAGTCACCCTTCCCACCAGGACCTAGGGGAGGGCTCCAGGGAGTGACAAACACATCACATTCTAGTCCTGGGCTGATGTTCAGCCAACCACTTGTCTCACTTCAAAAAACTGGGTATGTCATCTTTGCTGTGACCACAGTGCTAAAGCACCCAGGTGTTAGGGACTTGAGGGGCACTGTTTTAATGGCGTCAGCAATCCCAACGAAATGGACTGCAGGTTCATTTAGTCTGCCCATTGGCACTGTCCCACAGCAAAGCAGTGCAGGGACAGTCAACTGTGAGAAGGCTGGTCCGGGCCAGCATTCCCAGCCCATGTCCCTCATGGAGGTGAAGCCAAGGGGCTGAGTAGAGCCTGCTGTCTCTCAGTAACATTTCGGGTAGAGCTCCTGGGGCATTCCTCCACGAAGCTGACGGTACTGAGGGACAAACATGTGCTGAAGACCAATGCTGACGTTTTCTTCCCAGGCCAGACAACTGGGATGCGCACCAGGACTCCAACTGTAACGGCATTTGGGTAAGCAAGTAGATTTGAACTTGAACTTAGGCCTGCCCTCCTGAGAGCCTGCTCCTTATCCGTGTTTGTCACATCCGAGAAAGAGGATGACAGACCAAAGCTATGCTCTCCTTCAAATGGAGGAGATGAGCTCTCCTACACTCATCACAGCCCCTTTAAGCCTTGCTGAAGGCCACCCACACCTAACCAGTTCTGTAAAGCCAGACCCTTCATTGTCCTATGAACAGTCTGAAATTAGATGAAGAGGAGTGTCAGCAAAGTTTCACAGTGACCCTAACATCTGCTAGAGCAAAGCGATGGCTGTCACCATGTCATTGCTGCCATTTTCCCTGTTTCTTAAGGCGAGTCAGGTAGTGTGGACTGTGCCCTGTAGTTACACCATGGAGCACGGAGATCTGGTGGCCCAGTTCCCTATAAATAATGGGTTAGCTGTGTCCAGACAGAGGAAGGGGGAGGAGGAGGAAAGCCAACCAAACATGCATGTGAGGACAGCAGCAGCTGCTGACCCAGGTTTTGTGAGGCCTTGAGGTTATGCAATGAGAGGCGTCCTCAATACCAAATTACAGATACACCAAGTATGAAAGTAAACAAATGATTAGAACAATGAAAGGAATTCTAACAAATTATTGGAGTCTTGAAAATGCAGACCCTTTCTTTGAGATCTCTTTTTGTATTTCTCACAAATGCTTACATGGAAATTATGTCCCAAATGCAGCCTGGCTTCTCCTCTCCATCTAGAACACTCTATGGCTCCCAGCTGCTCCCAGAGCCCTCAGAAGCAGGGATTGTGCTAATAGGAGCCCTGATGTTTAAGATTCCCTGGCTTTAAGATAAATTGCCTCTAAATAGTTGCCTCATTGATCTGCTTAGATGACTTGGGGAACATTTCTATAAATATTTCCCTTTTTCCAAGACACTTCTGGGGTATGGTGAACAGGACAGATTGTACCCTAGTCCTCCCCACCCTCCAGTCACACTGTCTTTTCGTGAGGAGGAGAAGGCATATCCCCTATATCTTAAGGTGCCAAGACCCCCAAGGCAGCTCTTGCTTTGGTAAACTCAAGCTAAGGTGTCATGTTAGAGGACAGAGGGGGTTGATCAGTGCGTGAGACTGCTGTCCTTGTTCCATGGCCCCATCCCTCCTTCTGACATGCTGTGCCACCTGCATAAGGAAGGCCAGCAGGACACTGTGCTCCATGGATGGAAATTTACCAGGAGCTCAGGAAGCTGAGATGCCGCAGCCCCCCATCAGTCATGGTGGAAAGACCCACCACCTTCACACCTGCCCATTCTCACAGAGGCAAAGTGACTCACAGAATCATAAACTCACAAGGGGTTTTACAGCCATCAAACCTATTATTTCCCAAACCGTTTCCTCAGAACCCAGTGTTGGGTGTGATGTTAATAGGTGCTGGGGGAGGGATTCTGTAGCCAAGTTCAGGAAGTACTGGGTCGGAGACACCTGGACAGTTTCATTTGCTTCCAGATTTCTCAGCATGCCTGATGTCACATGCACTGGGAGCCCCCAAGACCAAGAGAGTAAATACGCTGTTTCTAGCACATCTCCGACCACCGAGCACTTGTCTTAAAATGCAGTTAATACAACTACTACTATCTAGTGGTCTACCAGTGCCCTCCAGCACCGGTGACATTTGGGTGGGGTAATTCTTGATTGCTGGTGCTGTCTTATAAACTGCAGGCTGTTCCACAGCATCTGTCCTCTCCCCACCAGGTGCCAGTAGCCCCCCCTTCCTTCCTCCCCATTGTAACAACCAAAATTTTCTCTAGACAAATGTCCCTTGGAGAGAGGGTGGGAGGGCGAAAACAGCCCCATGGTGGATCACGGCTCTAGAAGTATCAACGCTTGTGGTGGGAGACCAGTTCCGTAAAGCCCGACTTGCTTGCATGGGAGTCGCTGTGAGGGAGGAAGGACTCGAGACTTTGCAGGGTTTATCTACTGATGCGCTTTTGCACTTGTAAGGCCATTTGGGGAGGACTTAGTGTACGTGTGTCATAAATTTAAAAACAAACCACTAATCCCATCATTTCTCCTTTAAAGGGTATCGATCCAAAAGATGGAGTTCCCTATGAGAAGAAATTCTGTGAAGGTAGGAGTTGTAAAAGTTCATTTGATTATGGGGTGTTTTTTTCTAGTCTGAGTCAAATTGAAGGGAATGGACCACCCAAGTGAGGAAGTGCCTGATGCCGCAACCTAAACTTGACCAATTTATATTTATTTTGCCGACAAATCTGAAGGAGATATGAAAAGGATTCTAGAGGAAGGAGGCAAAATCTAGAGAAAGCAAAACTGAATTTGTTTGTCTCCCTTATCTGAGGATTGGGAGCTTAAATGATAATGTTAGAAAAAGCTGCGACATAGAAAACAGAGTGACTGAAATCCAGCACTTCTCCAAATAAGAAAATAAGTGGAGGTGATCCTTTCTCCTCTTGTCCATGTCCTTCTTAAAACACAACAAGCTCAGATGTCTGGGCTTGAACTGACCGAGTCCCTGTGTCATCTGGGATGAAGACACCTGGATGACTCCAGGGAAACCCCCAAGCAGCAGCCATGGGCGTTCCCAAAAGGAGCTGAGCAAAGACTCTGTATTCCAAATGTCTAAATGCCTCAGACATCTGGGCTCCCGGGACTGTTAGGAACAACCTATTACCACCCACATATCACTGAAAACGTGTGCCTGAGATGCCCAAATAAGAACCTGTGGTAGCATCACTGTTCTATGTTTAGGCAATCATTTTTCCTCCCATTTAGAAGCATTTCACTCATTCATTCATTCAAGCATGCAATCATTCAACAGATATTTGCTACATGTCTATTCCTATGACGTACCAAGAGCTGTACTTGGCTTTGAGTTTTCATGAGCAGATATGAAACAGTCCTCGCCCCCAGTCAACTTAAAGTATAAGGTACAGTTAAGTCCTTCCCCCCTTCTCAGAGGGGAAGAAGGGCAGGAAGGAGACCAAAAACATAAGGACCCAACCTATAGTTACGAGTTTAGGAATGCTTGTTGGATGAATAAAAGAATAAATGCACAAATAAACTGGTGAATAAACTCCAATCTAAGTGAAATTCTGGCAAAAGTCTCTGGGAACACTGGGAAACCTATTGAATTCCCTACATCCCAACCCCTCCCAGATGTCCTGGCCCTCCTCTCTCACCATTTGTGTGTCCAGGTATTGTCACAGATGCCCCAGACAGGAAGCCGCTGCAGTGTGGCTGATGGGGGGCAGACAGGGGCGAGGGGTGGGGGTGCCGGAGGGCAGGGGCTGGTTGGAGGTGGGGGAAGGAATCTCCCCCTCTGACTCTGGGAGGCATCAATTAATTCTCCCAGGATCTTAAGGAATTTGGAAGAGCGCATGCATCACCCATGGGTGGAGATTTGTGTAAATGGGCCCCAGAGTCAGATTAAGTGATTCTTAACCTCCAAACACAGCGGGCTGCATGGAGACCTTTGTTTCTCCATATTGCCCTTGATCTGCCAGAGCCAGCCATCCAGCCCTTTTTTGTATACGAGTATCCGGATTAAGAGTTTTAAGGGTCATAATATCTTTGATAAATCAAAATTGTTCCATGAGATCAGTAATTCTTAAAGTGAATTATCACAGAAATTAGTATGTTTTCCAAGAAGCAATTTCCAGAACCAAACTGTAGGACTTGTTTCTGAGTTCAAATGAAGTTTTGGTCCATTTATTCATCCGTCATTCACTCAGGATATCTCACGGCAGTTTGTATTACTAGCTAGGAAACATACCTTCTATGGTACAGCCTAGCTCCCAATTTCCACGGCCTAGAAATCTCCTCTGGCTCTGAAACGCTACACCCTCGACTCCGCAACACACAAAAGGTGGCCATGCATCACTGCTATGGTGCTCTGTGCATGGAACACACGCCAGGGTATCCGCTCTCCTGACCACACAGTCTGGAGGCTTCAAACTACTTGAGAGCATCAATAATGCAAGTCAATTGTGCCACCTAGGTTCCCAGCCCAGGGGCATCATTTTGCTGGGAGACTCAGCGGGCGCTCATTTTCACATCCCTCCCGAATGGATCACAGCTTCGCAGATGTCCCTGGTAAGTCATTTTGGCAGTAATCATCCCGAGATGCACTGGCCTTTGGGTTTGCTTCCCCTTGCTCTCTCTAAATGTGACGCCAACTCCAGACAGGTGGGAACTTTCCCACTCAGTAAAATCTGCTGTAAAGGGCACGTCCTTTCCAGTTCAGTTTGTCTCAGACAATGTGGTAAGAATTGGGAGGGTGTCAGCACAACAAGCTCAGCACAGGAGACGGTGCGTCCATCTGAGAAGAGAACGGTGCCCCTGCCTGGGGGGATGGACACTGTAGCCCATAGGAAAGCGCTGTCCTACCGCACCTCTCCTAGAAAAATGAAGCTCTGATCCTGAGACATTACAGTACAGAAATGACCGATTCTCCATTGACCCCTTCTTCTCAGACTAAAGAAATCTGACAGGAACCTAAACCCTCCCTGAACCTCTCCTGTGTCCCAGAACCAGCATACAGACCTCCCTGTATAGAATGAGCAAGCCCAGAAATATCTGGGCATGTGAAAAAATACTCATGATCTCAAAATAAGAGTGTTTGTTTGAAAAAACTTGCCATAGGAAAAGAGTGACACTTTGTGAAATATTCAGTTCAGACTCTCAACAACAGCTGAGAGTCAGGAACGTGAAAGGAGAATGCCGTAAGATCAGGGAAGACTCCTTAGGAGAAACGATAACTACCTGTGAGAGAACGCAGTGGCACTACTGACCAGCAAGCGGTAGTGGACAACACAAAACGCTGCAGGGCGAGCCAGTCCGCCAGCTGGGAGAGTTCTGGAACTCACCGAAGAGGCATGCAGATGGGTCCCAGGATTGAACAGGAAACCAAGAAGAAGATAACATCCAGCAGAGAGGAAACAGTGACTAAATAAATACTAAAAGGCAATTTTTTTCAAGTGGAGGCGATCTCTGTCTTCAACCCCACACCCCACTGAGCACCGGGCCCAAGTATAAAATAGCCTCTCTCTCCATCACATCCTGCTTTTTCTTTTTATTCCAAGGGTGAAGGGAAACCTTGCCATCATTCTGCCCAGCAGACAACTAACCAGGGTGCAGATGCTGAGGAGAACGCCTTTGGGCACCAGACACATCTAACACTAAAGTTCGGAAAACCATGGGATGGCCTCTGTAGAGTTCTGAGGACCAAAGCGTGTGTCGGACACACAGCCCAGGTGCTTTTGTACGTGAGGGTGGCAGAAACTCCTCCTCAGGCCATCAGAGATTCAGAAGACGTACCAGATGTATGTCTTCCTGAAATAAAAGTATTTTAAGAAGTATTCCGGTTCTCTCTGAACATGATCTCATAAGATGAAGGCAAAAATAAAAGCATTACATGAAATTTTCAAGTGTATGCAATGTCAAAACTTCTAAGTTTAAAAGACAAATGAAGAATGAGTCTAGCCCTGGCCAGGTGGCTCAGTTGGGTGGAGCATCATCCCACACACCAGAAAGGTTAAGGGTTTGATTCCAGGTCAGGACACGTGCCTAGGGTGCAGATGTGACCCCTGGTCAGGAACATATGGAAGGCAACTGGTCAACGTTTCTCTCACACTTCAATGTTTCTCTCTCTCTCCCCTTCCCTCTCTCTCTAAAAACCAATAAACATATTCTTGAATGAGGATTTGAAAAAACAAAAATCATATTTATAATATACAAGGCAGGATTTAAATCTTCTAATTACAAAGAGTTCCTGCATGTCAATAAGAAGAAAAACTTAAATTTTTAATGATCAAGAACATGACTGATCAATATAAAAATAGTTTCATCTTCAGCGGTAATCAAGGAAACACAAAGTAAAATGATGATGCGGTATCAGTTATCACCTGCCAAGGAGACAAACGTTAAAAGCTGACAAAGGCCTAGTATTAGCAGAAATATAGGAAAATGGGTGTGTTCATTCTCTACAAATGAGAACTGGAGTTGCTTGAACTTCTTTGTTAGGCAATTTGACAATATGTACAAAGTGAGATGAAAATATTGGTGGTTTTAACCAGGAATTGAGTATCAGAAGTATACCTTTGAAACTGACCAGTCATTTGCTCAAGAATCTATGTCTATGAGTATTCCATCAAAGAGTTATTTATAAGAGCAAAAATGAGAAAAGAAATTAAAAATAGGGGATTACACATATAAAATTATATTTCACCCGCCCATAAAATGAAACATTATGCAACCATTAATGTGCATAGTATAGACACATTTATGGGCAAGAAAATGTGTTTATGTTTGACATTTAACAAACATAAACACATTTGTTAGGGGGGAAAGCAAGTTACGAAGGGCACAGATAACCCAGGTTTTGCGTGCATGAAGAAAATCATTGGAAGGCCGTAGGTCAGTGTGGTAATGCTGGTATCTTTGGATGGTAGAATTCTGGGTAACACTTTTCTACTTTTCTTTCACTGAACTTGTGTATCATGTGGGTACACATATCACAATACAAGATTTGGGGGATTGTTTCATTTAGCTTTCAGCCAATAGCTAAGGAAACTTGCTAAAGAAAACCAAAGCATTGCTTTACTGAATCTTTGTAAAAAAAAAAACCCTTCTGAAGTAGCTATGGTTTCAGTACAGGCTCACTTTATAGACACACAGCAAACAGGTGGCCGAGTCACTCCTGTCACATACCTAGGTTGTGGGTTCAATGTCCCACCAGGGCACATACAGGAGGCAACCAATTGAAGTTCCTCACATCGATGTTTCTCTCTCTGAAAGCAATGAAAAAATGTCCTTGGGTGAGGGTTAAAAAAAACAAACTACCATCATTTCTTCTCACTCACACACATGTTGCTTGAGGTCAGCTGCTCAAGAATGGGCTCTGTTGATCCCGGCTGCAACCTAAGGGTTGGATCAAGCGCCAGTCCACACGTCTCTCATTTTTCTTGGTTGGACGGTCTACCCAGGCTGTGTTTTTTCATGGCGATGGCAGATGTATAGAGGGCAAGGCCCCTACACAAAGAAATCTGCTGAATCACGTCTACCATCAACCCACCAGCCAAAGCAAGGCACATGGCCATGCCCAGGTCAGTGGAGAAGTCTACCTGCCCCAGGTGGGAAAGGCAAGAGAGTGAATATTTGTGGTATTGCTTTTGTTTCATTATAAATGTTAAATATTCAGTGGAGAAAAATAAGCAAATACAGAAATTATTAACAAATCGTTAAAATTCCATTTAATGCTACCACCCAGACAGAATGGTTTTAACATTTTGGAGTATATGATTGGTTTTGAAATATTCTTTTAATACTCTTCTTAGAAAAAAATGTATAAAGTCAATGTCAGACTAATTTTGAGAAATACAAACAAAATCCCCCCACCCTCTCCAACTTTTCTCAGTATTTTTCCGCTCTTTCCCAGCCGCCCACCCCCACTACAGAGGCAAACACTCACAGGAGGCAGTCACTTGGGTGACAAGCACACGGCTGGTGAGCCTCCTGTTTTACAATGACTCCTACCCATAGTCACTCTTCCGCCTTCCCCCTGAGTCTTCACACCTGCGAGAGCTGTTCAGGTTCACAGATTCCTTTTCCGTGTACAAGCCATAAACTACCTAGCCTTCACCCGGGACTGTGCTAAGCTGATTCATGGTTTCACTTTTTGGCTACTATGGATCATGTTCCTTAAGAAAAAAAAGGTTTCCATTTCTTAAATCTATTACTTGTAGACTCTCTTCCTCTGCACAGGTCAGCCTAGATTGGAGGGCCATGCCTCGCAGGCACCTGTGAGGTGTGTGAAGCTCAGCTCTCTCCTGTGTCGGTCGTATAGCTTTAAATACTTGTAGCACATGTACACAACCGATCTCCAAATGATAACCCAGGACCTACTGTGTGCTAAGCCCTGGGACAGGGGCCAATGACATAGGGGTGACAGGGTGGGAAAAGCCCAGGTCCTCAAGGAGCCTCAGGCCTGTGGGAAATACAGAGAAGCAAATAGCAGCTCCCAGGTGAGACCACACACATGTGTTTGTCCTGCAAAGCCGATGATGCCTCTGCAAACGCATCACCCTGTCCCAGCCATGCCATCATTAAGGAAGCCACAGCCTCAGACCCTGCTGGCACAGTCCCCTTTCTCCTGCCCCTGCTGTCCTCTGGTTACACAGTGTGGCACCCTGGAGGCCTGTTGACAGCTGATTAGATTAGGGGTGTGCTCACTTGGAAAGATATTTATAATTCAGCAAAGGGGGTGTAAAGATCCATCCTGGCGGGTCCCCAGAAGCAAGCACCCGTTACCCTGCTAGGGGCTGACGGGCCGTTCTGCCCTCTCCCCCTTCATGCCCCTTCCAGATGGCTGTCCTCAGGTTCACAGTGAGCTTCTCCAGCCCACGGAAGACCTCAACTTCAAAGGAAAAGAAAGAACAAATCTGAACATGCTCTCACACTATCTTTTTTCCCCTTTCATTGGAAAAACAATCACGGCTTGAATTAAATTGAAAAGATAAATCTGAAAAAGAAAGAGAGGTAGAGAGATCCTCAAGGCCCACAATAGGTGCCGCCCTCCTGCCTCTATCCCCATCTGCTCAACAATTATTTCCAAAATATTAAAGACTGCATTTCATGAAACCAGAATTGGATGATGGGGTGGGGGAGGGGTGAGAGAGGGACAATTTCCCACGTGTTTATTTTGCCAGCAAAGGTGGCCGCCTGCCCTGTTATAAAATCTCAGCATGACCCCCGGCAGGCGGCCATCTGTAGGGTAGGTAGGCACAGATTGAATTCTGTGTGGTGTCAAGGACAAAATGAACCCTTAGCCTGGCTGCCGAGAATGCACATTCACCCGAGAGAGCAAAGCTGCTCTGGTCTTCCAAGCCCTTATGCGCTTCATCCCTCGATTTGAGACGATTTCATAGATTAGGTTTGGAGACTATTAGCCTGCAGACAACGCAAGGCGTAAGTATCCACGCTCTCGCCCTGTCTCTAACGGCCCCTTCCCGCTCTCTGAATTTATCAGTGTGCGTAAATCTTCCATTAAGCAGAAATTTCTGGCCGATTTTCATGGTGCATGTAAAATAGGGAAA